TATGTCTCTTTTTTAGGAAATAACAGGTGCAGGTGGAGTTATAATAGGATTGATGATTGGTGCAACTATATTGTTTATGACGTCATTCAGAATTGATGTTGTTGCTTCTGTAATAGGTACGAAGAAAGGAACCAAAAACGGCAACAATAAAAGCCAGTCATCCTTCTCTCGGCAAGGTCTTCTTTTGCCATTGGAACCTGTTAGTGAAATATATGGAGATAACGAAAAGTTTTCAAGCTCAAAAGCCCATTCAAAGTTTATGTACCATTCAAATATTTCGTTTAAATCGCGAGCAGAGCAAACACAGACTTCTATAACAGAGGTGGAGAGGTGGAATAAGGTGGAAGACTGAGCATCCGCCAACTAAAAATGCCCTCTCAATCTCCTATTATTCTACCTTTCTGTTTTCTTGAGAGTAACAAATGCAAAATGATTGCCCTGTGGCCATTTTTTTTTTTACTTTTTGTATGCTTATTAACACACATATATATTTTTCCTTGGATACTTAACACATGAATGTCCATTGCAGTAGACACTACCAAAGGAATTTCAAAAAATAAAACAAAACTCCATAGGGACATATCACACAGGGATGATATAATTTCATCTCAAGATATGAAAATAACTAGATAAAAAATGTACATGTATTTAAATGTAGAATTTGAAGGTAAATAAATTCTCACATGTCAATCCAAGAAGGTAGGCGACTTCAGCATCAGTTAACGGAAACTCTCTCAGCTGATTTGCAAGAAATGCATCCTGGGAATGTGTCATCTGCGTGGTGATGAGCAGGATGCCAAACAGAAAGTGAATTTTCATTGATTGAAAAAGAATCCTGTATTCAAAACGTAAAAAAATATTTTGTTATAAACCCCTGTGATTAGAAATTCCTGTTTTTTTTTAATACAAAAAAATGATGACAATATATAAAGAATGACTATATGTGTTTGTCCTCCCGTATAACGGATAAAAAATAGAAATTCAATTCAAACATTGCAATTGACCAAATATTTTTACCCTAGTTAAATATAAACGACTTTTCGAACTTTCTTTATTACATTTTTAACTGTGAAATACTGTAATTTAATCATAGAATAAAAATGTTATTCTTTCACAGTTTGAAAGGATATGACAATGATATGCTATTTCAGTGGTAAAACTCCCTAATTTCCTTCCCATTACAAAGAATGTTGTACAAAAATACTCCTTGGCCTGTTCTGAGACAGAGATAGAGAGAGCAAATAAACCATTCTGACAGAGACTAAAACTGTTCCTTCATACTTGAATATGGAATTCATTTCAATTGTGAGACAAAATATCTCTTTAATTTTTTCACTCGTGCTTCGCACTTGTGTAAATATAAAAAATATCCTGACCAATTCATGTACATGTTGTAATCATTAATAAATTATAGAATCAACTACAAAAAATATATTGCATATTCTCTATTAAGTTAGTTTCCTATCCTTATATTTGTTTAATATTATCTATTTAGTTTCTTATCCTTATATATGTTTGCATTTTATGCGACCCTTTATTTAACGGTATCTAACCCATCACTAATAATGCCAAAATTAGATGATCGCTAACGTATCCCGTTAAACGAATATAAGAGATACACCCCCTCCCCCTTTGCATGCCATTGTTTATCGGGATGAAAATTACATGTATTATGAGACATAGATTTGAAAAGTATGACGCTATAACTTTCTTTTATGGTTCACATTTAACTTCAATTGACTGATATACATAAAAATTTCGCATGTTTCGAGCAAATATGAATTAAAGTTAATTTATGTTTAGAAAAAAGTACAAGTTTTTTCTAAGACGATATAGAACTTTAGAAGATTTTTAAAATAGTTTCTTCTGAAATTTTAATTAGCGTTGTAGCAATCCAGTAATATTTATCACCGATGGAAACATGAAGATGTCTTATACTTTACATGTATGCATGATTTAAAGAGCATTTATCAATCCTAAAAAAAGTAAGATATCCATAAAGTATTAAAAAGAACTTTTCATGACCAATTAAAAAAAGTTTTTCTCCATCTGAAATACAGAAAACATTTTGATCTTCCAAACATAACTTCAATATAAAACATTAAATTTATTACGCTCCTGTCCAAGAGTCAAAATTTGTTAACAAATATCAGCAATGTATCCTAACTTAGATAAAAATACTTACCAATTGTATTTACATTTGTTAATCCAAACTTAGCTCTATATGTGATTATGCCTGGACATTTCTGCTCGTTTGGACATCCACCTTTTGATCGAATGTCCTTGTACAACCCGCTAACATTAGAGCCATCACGAAACATACATTTCCTCTTTCACGTAACTTCCTGTAATGGCGTCGCTTTACTGAAAGTTAGCGGGTATTATGGAAAATTCGCTAAAGCGACACATAAACTGTCAGTTCAAGTTTATTTATGTCGTCCAAAGAGGTCGAGGAGGTTAATTTCGGGGTAAAAACAGGAATTCTATAACAACATATCACCTTTTAGGTTGACGTGCCTGTGTCATGACAGACTAAAGATGTTTTCACTGGTCAGAATAATTTATTCCAGGTAAAAAAGTCATACTTAAATGAATTAAATTAAATGTAGAAACAAATAAATAAATAGTAAATAATAAATGAATAAGTAAATGAATGAAAAAATAGATAAATAAATAAATAAAATAAATAAATAGATGAATGAATGAGTGAATAAATAAAAGAAGGGTGTAATACTCTTGTTGTGGCAATTTGGGTCAGCAGAACTGTTGATGTTCTTCAAATGGCCAGAGCAATAACTCGCTATTGCTTCTTATGTGAACATATTCGGTAAGCATGGCAAGGCAATTTTACTCAGCGATCTTTTCTTTACTGTACTTTGTCCATTCTCCTCAAAGTCGCCTGATGGCACAGTAGCAAGAGCCATTGCTCCAGAATCGCGAAAAGGACTTGATCCATATGTCGCAAATTCTGATCCCACAGTGTGATGTAGAAACTAGTCGGTACTTCGAATGAGACCGTACAAAAGAACTTTTGCAGTAGATGTTTGCACAAAAAACATCACTTGCTGCTCAATGGCCCCTCAGTTCCGAGTATAGGTCTTAAATTTCTAGTTGCGTCTCATGATCAATAATTGTAAAAAATATTCGAAAATGGACTTTAAAAAAATCAAACGAATAAACATTCTAAACAAAGAGTAGTCTATCTTTACGCGCTATAATAATAAACGTTTGATCGAAATGTTGTCTCCTAGTCTTAGTATCATTTTAGTCCATAAAGAACGTAAATGGGAAACACATTTCATTATGCCCAATCTTATATCAGATTTCCTCGTCATCAAAGTATATTTGTCATACAACGATCCCGTAAACATGGTAAATATCAAATGGACAGATATTAAACTCAGAAACGTACTAAATCACAGCATGTAAATGTAGTTGATGCTAGTTTATCATTGCATCTCAACTTTGCTTAAAATATACAACTATGCTCCGTCTTTGCTTTATAATTTGCTCCACAAAAATGTGTAAGAGGACTCACGTACAAATCTTTGTAGCCTTATTTACTGTTGCTGTAATTAACAGTGTTTTGAGTAGCAGTCGCTCATTGAAAAAAAAGTTTATGTTCTTCCGGTAAAATTATATTTATACATTTAGATTATGTCTTTGGAGAATTCAAGGTATCCATGTCAAATCATAATTACCATAGCTTCTATGTAATGCATTATATAGTACCCGAAAAGATTTTTTGTCGCAGAAATACTATGTACATCCAAATATAATAAAATTTTGTAACTTGATGACAAGTACAGATCCATCATTTTTACGACAATTGTGTATATTTATTACAAAAAATTTTGACTCTGTCTGTCCTCCTGTAATTTCTGCTCGTCCATAATTATTGTAAATATGTATATATGTACCTCTTGTACCATGTATATGGTTTTTTGAGAGAATAAATGAATGAATCTACGAATAATTAATAACCGAGAACAGTTTTGAGTCAAATTAAGACTTGATGTTTTTAAAAAAACACTGTAAACATATTAGTCAATTGTAAACACATGGTGTTTTTTTTTAATTTCTTTACAGTCATTTTAAAAATTATAATTTCAAATTCTGACTTAAGTTTATTCCATATTATGGTCTTGGGGATTGTTTTAATATCCAATTTTTAACAACCATAACTTTATTGTGTAACATAAAATCATAAAATTTTGCTAAGGTGTAAATCAATTTTTACTTCGCGAAGAATTTTGCAATCAGGCTTTAATGTGCTTCATATTTATACCTCTCTTGTTTTATCCAACACTAGAGGTAATACCAGTATTTGTATTGGTAAACTCATCTTATCAAGAATAGATATAATTATACATTTAGGATAAAATATATTAGAAATATTATAAAGAAAACTTAGATATTTAAAGCTTTATTAAAATAATAACAATATTAAATGAATCGTCGACTTAATATATTTACAGTGAGTCATACAGTAGTTTTGCTTTCAGCAACAAATTAAAGCAGAAAATAGTCAGAAAAATAATGAACAAATATGCATGTTCAGAATATTATGCTTAGCATACGACAAATAATAACATTTTAATGAATTCGTGTAAAGCATGAAAAACTCTGTAAATGTGAAACCTATAAGAATGATTGTTATTCCTGCAATTCATAAACTACATGGGGATAATCAATTGTTGCCCTTTAAGCAAGAAAAAGAAAGCTACAGATGTAAAAGTCTTATAAAAATAGTATTATAAAAATAAACTAAATACTGTATAAATTATAAATACTATGAAACTACATATACATATGTGACCAGCACAAGTTTTAAATAATGAAATGCATGAACTTATTACATAAACCAGAATACAATTATTCTGAAGTACAATATAAACATAGATGTGCAAATCACACACTTAATCTTAAGAGGACAAAATGACAAAACTTACATTTTTTTTCGAAAATAAAGTTAAAAAATCTATCAATTTTTTTGACATGGAGGTAATTGTCATGATAATTCCTCCTGTTCAGAGTGATTATTGGACTCCCTGTGAACACTTTGTCTATCTGCCTCGTTTCCAGTTTGTGTAGTTGCAATGGTACTTGGCGGCCTCTCTGACGATTGATGAATCTTTACATGAAATGAGAAGGGTGTATACCTTAACATGTATTCATCTCTACTTTCATTGAAATATTGCTTTGACCAATCATTATTTTTTTTATACTATTTCCAAAGATAGATAAATATTAATCTTACCGAATTTGGAACAATCATACTGCTGTCTATCGGCTGAATATGACTTCCCTCCATATATACGTTCTGATCGTCGCCATTTGTATTTATGGATGTCATACTGTGCATGCTATAGCTCCTGTGTTTCTCCGGTGCAACGTGTAAAAATATCCTCACGATCTGTTCCGAGTTGGATTTTAGTTTTTCCTCTTCACTTTCTTTGTATAGAGGATTATGAGTGGTGTTTGGATTGAAATAAAAGTTTGATTTTGAAACTGTATTTTGTTCTAGATTATTTAGACTGAGAGAACTTTGGCTGCTGCAACAGAAAAAAATGGATGTGAACCCAAATACGCTTGAAGAGATGTAAACGGAACTACATGTACATGTACTTTATTAAAGATTTCATGTATCATCTCGGAAAATCACTAAACATACCAAAAAGATCATCACTAGTATTGTAGTATTTTTTATCTTATTTTTTTTTTGGTTTATTTACCTACCTTACAAGAAGTTTCTTTTGCTCGTGGACCTTCCTACACACACAAATAAAGGCAATGATGATAAATAGCATTAGCCCCCCACCGACTCCTGCAGTAATACTGATCATGGTCATATTGTCCGGTGCCTTGTCATCGTCTTTTAACACTTCTGTTTTCTCACATTTTTCTCCCAGATACACAAATTTTGAGTCGTTGGATTGTTTACAACTGAAAGTCACAATTAAAATTTTGAAATCTCGAAGATCGATATCTGTTTTTCATCAACATGATCTTAATTTAACCATTTGAAATTCAACAAAATATTCTCTTCGATACTCAGTGCCAACAATTATTCTCGTATTAAATTATTAACTTCATTTTCACAATTTTTAAAATAGAAAAAGGGAATTACACTTACAAACACTTTGGTAGTTTTGTTTTTGTATCAACAAAACAGGTTCCATGTTTTCCACAACTGAGGTCTAAACATAGATTTCTACAGATAGCTCTACCCTCACTGAAGTCACATCTCGAGTTATCTGTAGGACATGTGCAGGCTATATTACGTTTATTCAAAAGCTCATCTGCAAATGAATATTTAAAACATTAGGAGTTATTCATGTCTTAAACTGAATAACCTCGAAGCATTTTTTTGATACTCTACGAAAACTTGTTTCAGCGGATCAATATTTTTGTATTATTGCAAACCAATTTACTTTTATTCGTAAGAAATGTCTTTTTTTTTAATTATTAGACTTGTATTATTTTGTCGAATTTGTATTACTTCAAATTAAACCAAATATTTACAAAACAAAAGTTTGCGAAAATTATCCCGCTCATAAATACTAGATTATTATCTCGAAAAACAAAGGTATCAAAAATATCCGGTGATCTACAACATGATATTTTACCAAAGTCTCTCATTCATAAAGCACATAATAACCACAAAAATATAACCATGAACATAAAGGTAATTCAAGATTCACCAAATAGAGTCCATGTCCATTATAAGTCCTTCTTACTAGTACATAAAATACATAACATACAAAAAGATATAATTCTTTAAATTGGACAGCCTGTGAAATAGCATTTCCAACAATATACACTTTGATAACAATATTATTGATATTTTATGTTATACTAAAAAGTACACCTTACTTTTGATATCGCGTGTTTTGACATCCTTTCTGGTTTTGTCGACATTGACAGGAAAACCGAAGAACACCGGTTCATTATCAGTCCACTGAGTTGCTTTCGTTATTAGTTGATCATGGACTTGATCAACGTCTTTTTCCGTCACCAAAGCCGTGCCGTCAACACTCACAGTGTAGTTTACTCGAATGCTTCCATAGCTATGATAAAAAATATCCATAAACATATGTATCCTTTATTCAAAAAATGTGATTTTTCTCTTATCATTTCTCGAAATAGTCAAATTACATTAAACATCTGTTAATATAATAAAATAAGATATATCAATTAACATTTGTTTAAGTTTTAATATTAAAAATGTATATTATTATACCTGAAACTATTTATTATAACCATCAGAAAGCCACGGGTTTCCTTAAACCGATCGGTGAGCTTTAAAGTATAATAAACATATTTTTTAAACGTACATGTATTTCTTTTATTGCTAAAATCAAACATACAAAAAATTAGAAAAAAATGTAAAGAAGACAAGGATTATATAAAATTGAACAACTTACCACTTTTTGGGCTGTTTGCGTCGTTTCCTTGTATAAATCACTAGAATGGTCCAAAAGCTTGTCATCAAAACTTTTATCAATGTAAACAGCAAAGGACACCATTATAACTCCTAAAAATATATAAAATGCTCATGAGCTAAGGATTATATAATCTCTCTTATTTACAGTGAATCATTTTAAAATAAAGAATTTAATGCGACTGCCAACTTGAGAAAAACACTACAAACCAATATGTGGTATTGATGAAGACTGAGATATGGTAGTTGAGGGTCTTTGAGATATGGTAGTTGAGGGTCTTTGAGATATGGTAGTTGGGGAGGTCTGAGATGAGGTGCTTGATGGTTTTTGAGATTTTGCACTTGAGTATTCTGGAGTTGTGGTAGAAGTATGGAATCTCGTAGGTAAAGATTCAGTGGTAGACTGATGATGTAATACTGTTGTTTTTAATTTTTCTGATGAAGTGACAGTTGGGCGAGTTGTTGTTTTAGTGATAAAGTGAGTGGAAGCTATAGTTGTCTCTGAGGGCGTTGATGTTTGTATTATCGTTGATGTGGTCAGTGCTGACAAAGTTGTAGTCTTTTGATGATCTGAGGTTGTTCTGGTAGCCGTGGGCTCCACTGTTGTTTCTAAATTCATTATTAACGATATTAACAATACACATATCGTGCGAATTTAATTGATTAATTCTGTTACAGAAATCTTTACCTTATTTTTAGCTCTACTGGTCAGAGACCAGAAGAGCTTATGCGATAGTAAGGTGTCCGTCGTCCGTCCGTCTGTCTGTAAACAATTTTTCAAAACGCTACTCCTCCTACAGTTTTGGTCTGATTTGAATATAACTTGGCACACATGTAGACTAAACTAAGATACGTAAAATAGTGCATCGGTTTTTGATTTCGATGAACGGTGTTGCCATGGTTACTAAAAATAGAATTTTCTGTGAAATTCCTTTAAAATGCTACTCCTCCTACAGTTTTGATCTGATTTCAAAATAACTTGGCACACAAGTAGACTACAATAAGATACATAAAGTAATGCATCGGTTTTTGATTTCGATGAACGGTGTTGCCATGGTTACTAAAAATAGAATTTTCTGTGAAATTTCCTTTAAAACGCTACTCCTTCTACAGTTTTGATCTGATTTCAATATTACCTCGCACACAAGTAGACTACACTAAGATACATAAAGTAATGCATCGGTTTTTGATTTTGATGAATGGTGTTGCCATGGTTACTAAAAATAGAATTTTCTGTGAAATTTCTTTAGAATGCTACTGTTCCTACAGTTTTGATCTGATTTCAATGTAACTTGGCACACAAGTAATCTCCACTAAGATACATAAAATAGTGCATTGGTTTTTGATTTCGATGAACGGTATTGCCATGGTTACTAAATATAGAATTTTCTGTGAAATTCCTTTAAAACGCTACTCCTTCCACAGTTTTGGTTTGATTTCAATATTACTTGGCACACAAGTACACTACACTTAGATACATGACATAGTGCATCTTTTTTTGTTTTCGATGAACAGTGTTGCCATGGTTACTAAAAATAGAATTTTCTGTGAAATTCCTTGAAAACGCTACTCCTTCTACTGTTTTGGTCTGATTTCAATATTACTTGGTACACAAGTAGACTACAATAAGATACATAAAATAGTACATCAGTTTTTGATTTGATGAACAGTGTTGCCATTGTTACTAAAAATTGAAATGTCTGTGAAATTCCCTTTAAAACTTTAAAACGCTACTCCTTCTACAGTTTTTCTGATGGCAATGGCTTCTTTTCTCATCCTCTGTTATAAATACAAACCAGTAGAGCTATAGTCTCGACAGAGACTTCTGGTTTCTCTCCGTTATCACAGTTAATTTACCACAATAATAGCTGTTGTAAAGTTTGGAAAAATGATCAGACTGGAATATATAGCTTATCATTATTAGCAAATTCTTGGTAGTACGCAATAGATATTAAGAAGTACTAATTTAAAAAAAAAATATTTTTACCTGGACAGAGAGGCATTCCTCTACATGGTTGGATGTCAGTATCGTTTCCTTTACAAGGTTCGCCGCCATTTTGTGGAGCCGGGTTGTCACATGTCCTAGTGAAGGTGTGGAAAGCTAATCCACATGTGGCAGTGCATTCTCCGTAAGGCATCCAAGGTGACCAGCCACCATTTACTACGAGCAAATAGAAATAAAACTTTAAAAAGGAATTCTACTACATGTATAACATATGATATACTTATTACATATGAGCAATAAACTTGAAGATGCAGGACCTCAGTAAACATATTTATACCACTTACTTGCACAGAGAGGTAGTCCTCTACAAGGCTGAGTATCGGTGCTGTTTCCTTCACACGGCTTGCCGCCATTTTGTGGAGCCGGATTGTTACACGTCCTTGTAGAGGTGTGGAAAGCTAATCCACATGTGGCAGTGCACTCTCCGTAAGGCGTCCAAGGTGACCAACCACCATTTACTAAAACAAAATAAATGTAAGATACAAAGAACGAATTCTTATTCTCTTCTCTTACGGTTATCTATACACAAATGCATCTATAAATTGTTTGGCTTTTACCTGGACATGGACCGTTGCTACATGTCTGACGGGAGAAAGGTATTCCCTCGCAATATTTACCGCCATTCTTTGGCTCTGGATTTGAACAGAACCGAAGCCGGATTATCGAGCCAGTACCACAAGTCACCGAACAAGACGCATTAGACCACGAAGACCATCCACCGTTGACTGGATTAAGATCAGGTGTTGCTATAACAAAATGGTGAGTTATTTATATTTTTTTATCTCCCATGCACAAAGCAAAAACATTACCCAAGACCTTTACTTAAAACAATATCAAAATCCTTTAAAGTATAATAAAAGCAAATAGTTACATGTCATAGCAGGGCTACGAGATGTAGTGGATGAAAAAGTCGTCAACTCTAAAAGGAAAATGAATTTGAAATAAATTTAGATCATATACGAATTGTATAGAATTCAGACTAGTGTTGATCCAAAAGTAAAGTCACAACTGTTATTAAACTTTAATGATTGAACGTGTCTACAAAATTTTGTATGCTGATACCTATGCTTATTAACTTTTGCACTAAAATAGATGCAACACTTTTTAACATATATGTAATTAGATAAACACGTTTAATTTGTTATCATCTATCACCACACCTGAAGAATGTAGAGACGTCGTTGTGACGTTTTTCTTCGACGCTCGTTCTTAATCTGATGAAACATAACATTTACGCAAAAGGAATGAATCAAGATTCAAACCTCTGGACATAAGTTTAATTTTTTATCACACGGCGGGTGTTACCAGTCGAGAGGGGGATGCTCACTCCTCCATGGCACCTGATCCCACCTCTGATGTTTTGGAGGTCCATGTTTGCTCTGCTCCTATTTTGTATTGTTTATGGACCTTTGATCTTGAATATTGTTTGTTATCTCCATGTTTTAGTCTAGAGCTCAATATTAAACGGTTTGTAGTAAAATAGCAGTCAAGACTCAACTAGGATATATGGATAAGTAGTCCCGGTAAAAATATTTTCATACGCCAAATTTGAATTAATGCGCCTTGCTTTATAATCGGATTCATGCGCCAAATTCGAATTAATGCGCGTTGTTGGATAATAAAAAGGAAATTAGAAGAATTTTTCCAGCAGAAGACAGGTTGACAGGTCGACGGGTTGAATGGTTGGCAGGTAGACAGGTTGACAGGTCGACGGGTTGACAAGTCGACTGGTAGACTGGTAGACAGGTCGACTGGTTGACAGGTCTACGGGTTGACCCCAAGGTGGGATAGAGGAATAGCCCTAATCTATCATGTTCGATAACTAACCCTAATCTTTCAGGTTGGTTTTAGAACTAACCCTTCTTATGGACTATTTTTAAAAGGATTTATTTAAAGTAATAACAGAATAAGACAAAATATTCCCACTTTCTACTATGAAAGGAACTAATTCTTATCAAATTTTAAATTTGAAAGATGTTAATCGGTTTTATGGAACTACTTATCCGTATACCCTAGTTGAACCGACTGATGTATGGTAAAAAGATATAGGGATGGCTAAAAATGAGCACCGAAAAGTAACGCAAAAATGATGTCAATCACATTCTTGCCGTGCGGCGATAGAGATTACCAGAGATTACGTTGTGTTTAATATGATAATTTTAAAGTATCTTATGCAATCAAAAGAAATGTTGAGACAAAACCCCTCAGATATATCATTAATAAACCAAAGTTTGTTGACAATACATTTGTTTGAATATCAAAGATTTTTAAAACGTTTTGACATTTCTTTCGGTGGACCCTGGTATGATCCTTTCAGCATTGAACATAGTCTTTATCATTATTGAAACATAATGAATGATGAACACAAAAATAAACTCTCACACAAACATAAAAATGTGTTGATACATTTACAAGATAATTATACAGTATCCATGGTAAAAGCATGACATCCATTGCAAAGGAAAATACAAAGGATTCTTGGCTTCGTGCTTATAAAATAACAAAGGAACATAATGTTCAAAGCATAACTAAATGTACCTCAGGATGATTTTCATTGTAATTGAAATGCAAATATTGGCAGCAGTACTTAAACAGATAAATATTAAATGCACTCTCTACCTATACATTGTCCAGAATTGCAAGGTGCAGTTTCACTGCCAGAACCATTGCACTGAAGACCCTCATTCTCAGGTGCCGGGTTTGTACATGAGCGAGTCCTTTCCTTGATACCGGTACCACAAGTGAGAGAACACTCCGAAAAAGGCGACCACGTACTCCATTCACCATTTACTGACAGAATAGTAATGTTTTGTTTGCACTATGAATTATCTTTTTAGAATTATAAAGAATCAGACCAGCTTTGAAATAAGGTTTGTCCTCTCCCGACTCAGGGTGAACAAATTGATTCTGTAGGTAGATGGGACGTTTTCCCTTGGAAAATTACGAAACAAAGAAGCTAAGAAAATTCAGGAGAAAAAATATTGTATGGAGGTTGAAAAGAATTGAGTCAGACCCTTTTTTTAGCCAATCGGTCGGGAGAGGTTAAACAAATAATTTTTATATAGATGGTCTTATAAGAAAATAATCACTATTGTTATTATTTTTTGGCTAAAAATACCTGGGCACAGCGGAAGATGCTGACAAATTCGAGTATCATTGCTCTTCCCCGGGCATGGCTGCCCTCCAAACCGGGGGGATGGATTGGTACATGTTCTTGTAGACGTCTGATATCCCACTCCACACGTCGCCGTACAAGTAGAGTATGGCGACCACAGAGTCCATCCCCCATTAACTACAAAACAGCATTATGGGTAACAATGACGCTACCTCAGAAATAGTCGATCAATTTGAGATTTTTCAGGGTGGAATATCATGATTTGCGAATATTTCCTTTTATAAATGTTTTAGAGTTAAAATCTAACGAAAACTGTTCCATAAAAAGTTTGTGTAAAATTTTATTCTAGAGCCAGATCGAGATAAACAGATATGCTCCATGGCCTATGGTGGCGGTGCTTAACAAAATGATATATTTATCATCTGCTTAGTTTGAGATTATTACTTGAGAACACTCACCAGGGCATTCCTTTAACATACAAGACGTAGACTCGTATTCTGATCCTGGGCAATCGCGGCCACCATTTTGAGGAGCAGGATTAGTGCATGTTCGGATACGTATTTTTGATCCACGCCCACACTGCACAGAGCACTCCTTCCCTGTAGAGATCCATGAACTCCAGCCTCCGTCCACTTGAAGAAGAAAGTTAATGGTGCAAGAATTGTAAAGATGCAATAATGAAGACTAACAATTAATGAATCAGGTACGCTCTGATATAAATTTTTGATTGCAATACACAATCTTTAAATTGTATTGACATACATACACATCATAAAGCATCATAAAGAGATGTTAAAAGGTGCATGGACACAGATTTGAAGTTAATATTTTCTGTATAATATCACGACTTTAATCCAGAATAATCCAAAATATTAAGACTTTAATCCAGAAAAATAATTATATTCAGAGTAGAAATGTTAGAAAGCAAAACCCCTTCACAAGTATCCTCATTCCGTGCTGAGTGTTGTGTACAGAGTTTAGCAAAATGATCACACCCGTGAAACGTACACCGTTTTTGTAAACAGGACACGAGCCCTGCTATTGTTGATGTTAAGATTCACTGGGTACATTCAATTGTTAAAGTCTGCTCATCACAACTGCACGGACTGACAATATACTGTGTGTATGTTTTGCTTTCGGACATTTCTACTCTGAATTTTCTGGATTATAGTTTTAATATTTTTCATTTATACACAACAAGATTGCCATTTTTCCTAATTATTAAGAATAAAATTAAAAGTTGTGAAAGTGCAAGGATGTGTCAATCAAACCCTTCTAAATATTTGAAGTTTTGATAACTTTTAGATGAAATAAGATTTTTAAGATATTTTTGTGTTAAATGCTATTAAAATATGTAAGTGGTAATATCATACAGAAAATATCAACTTCAAATCTGTGTCCACGCACCTTTAAATTCAAAATGAAAAATCAATTTCTGTTTTCTTTTCTTAACTTGAATCTAAGTTTGTTTTTCTCATTTGATATTGCATGTATCATTTGCGCTTGTATTAAAATAATATGCTTCCAAAACATTAACTGTACTCAAACACTAAGGAATAAAACTGAAAACCCTTTTATTGATTCATAGACTATAGATCTCGCGCAAACTGAACATTGTCCTTTCAAAGAGAAAAAAAAAACTGCAAATGGAAGGGTCGTAATTATTAAAAAGGAGTCTTCTAAAGCGTAAGCAAAAGATGGTAACTATATAAGATGCATTTTGATTGTTTTTATTATTTCATCAATCTGTAACACAGACATAAGGATAGGTGTTTGCAAAATAAAAAAAAAATGGAGCCATTTTTAGTTGAAGCGCCGTTTCAGCATTCCATTGTGTACGTGAAAAGTATACTACGTGCATTCAATCATTTTCCTTTGTGGATGTGCAAGCATGAAATAAGCAGTTGGATCCAAAACTGACCAGAAAAGCGCAGCATGAATTCAGTTTATACCTGGACACTCATTTGCTGTACAGTTTATAGATTCGCTTGCGTTTCCCGCGCAATCTAGCCCCCCATATTGAGGTGGGGGATCATTACATGAGCGTGTTCTTGTTCTTGTTCCATTACCACATTTCACCGAACACTCAGAATAAGATGTCCATTTACTCCAATTTCCATCGACTGTTAGAGAAGTAGATATGTTTGCAAATAAATTTTGTTTGCCGGCAGAAGAACTTTTAAATTGCACTGTTTAAAGTTTCAAGAGGCCCATGGGCCACATCGCTCACCTGAGAAACTTTGACCATTCTGTTCTTTACCAGATTTCCCCCTTGTAATACATAATGCATCCCCACCCTACGCCACTGATCATAATTTAGACATTTTGAAATCTACACTACCCCAGGATCCTTCCATGTGCACATAAGTGTCAGCTTTTCTGGCCCAGTGGTTCTTGAGAAGAAGATTTTCAAAGATTTTTCCTATATATTTCTATGTAAAACTTTGATGCCCCATTGTGGCCCCGCCCTTCCCCCGGGGGTCATGATTTGAAAAATTTAGAATCAACACTACCCCAGGATGCTTCCACATAAGTTTCAGCTTTTCTGGCCCAGTGGTTCTTGAGAAGAAGATTTTCAAAGATTTTTCCAATATATTTCTATGTAAAATTTTGATTCCCCATTGTGGCCCCGCCCTTCCCCCGGGGGGTCATGATTTGAACAATTTAGAATCTACACATTACCAGGATGCTTCCACATAAGTTTCAGCTTTTCTGGCCCAGTGGTTCTTGAGAAGAAGATTTTCAAAGATTTTTCCTGTATATTTCTATGTAAAACTTTGATTCCCCATTGTGGCCCCGCCCTTCCCCCGGGGGTCATGATTTTTACAATTTAGTATCTACACTACCCCAGGATGCTTTCACATAAGTTTCAGCTTTTCTGGCCCAGTGGTTCTTGAGAAGAAGATTTTCAAAGATTTCTCCTATATATTTCTATGTAAAACTTTGATTCCCTATTGTGGCCCCGCCCTTCCCCCACGGGTCATGATTTTTACAATTTAGAATCTACACTACCCCAGGATGCTTCCACATAAGTTTCGGCTTTTCTGGCCCAGTGGTTCTTGAGAAGAAAATTTTCAAAGATTTTTCCTATATATTTCTATGTAAAATTTTGATTCCCCATTGTGGCCCCGCCCTTCCCCCGGGGGTCATGATTTGAACAATTTAGAATCTACACTACCCCAGGATGCTTCCACATAAGTTTCAGCTTTTCTGGCCCAGTGGTTCTTGAGCAGAAGATTTTCAAAGATTTTTCCTATATATTTCTATGTAAAACTTTGATTCTCCATTGTGGCCCCGCCCTTCCCCGGGGGGTCATGATTTGAACAATTTAGAATCTACACTACCCCAAGATGCTTCCAGATAAGTTTCAGCTTTTCTGGCCCAGTGGTTCTTGAGAAGATTTTCAAAGATTTTTCCTCTATATTTCTATGTAAAACTTTGATTCTCCATTGTGGCCCCGCCCTTCCCCCGGGGGTGATGATTTTTACAATTTAGAATCTACACTACCCCAGAATGCTTCCACATAAGTTTCAGCTTTTCTGGCCCAGTGGTTCTTGAGAAGATTTTTTAATAACCCCACCCTATTTTTGTCTTTTCTTGATTATCTCATCTTGTGAGGGGACTTGGCCCTTTGTTTTAACAATTTAAATTTCCCTTCACCCAAGGATGCTTTGTACCAAGTTTAGTCAAAATTGGCCCAGTGGTTATTGAGAAGAAGTCGAAAATGTGAAAAGTTTACGGACGGACAGTCGGACAGACGACGGACAAAATGTGATCAGAAAAGTTCACTTGAGCCTTCGGCTCAGGTGAGCTAAAAATGAATTCTACCACATGTATAACATATACATGTATGTGCAATAAACTAGAAGGTGCCAGACCTCAGTAAACATATCTATATACTTACTTGCACAAAGAGGAAGTCCTCTACACGGTTGAGTATCTGTGCTGTTGCCTTCACACGGTTTACCGCCATTTTGTGGAGCCGGGTTGTCACATGTCCTAGTGGAGGTGTGGAAAGCCAATCCACAAGTGGCGGTGCACTCTCCGTAAGGCGTCCAAGGTGACCAACCACCATTTACTACGAGCAAATAAAAACCAGATGCCTTCTACTTTCCTTATTTTTTTTTATTCAAAAGTTTGTTTGCAAAATAAACTATTTGAACCCCATGCGTATTTCAAACCTAAATGTATTCATCTATTCTATTTTATTAGCATTGACACGAAGAAATACATTGTTTTACAATCAAAATTATTCCAGAGAAATATAAATAAATTGAAATAAGATTATGACAATGAGTCATTTTAATAAGAGGTCAAATTATCAGATGCATTTACCTGGGCATGGTTTATTAAAGCATTCTTTACGTTCAAAAGGCACCCCATCACAATACTTCCCGCCATTTTGAGGCTCTGGATTTGTACATGACCGGAGTCGGATTATAGAACCTCTCCCACAAGTTACTGAACACGAAGCATTAGACCAGGAGGACCACCCTCCATCAACTGTAAAGGCAAATTGTGTGATCTGTCATTGTAGTAAAAGAAAACAAGAGTATTTATATATTTTAACGTAAACGAAATTTCATAAAAACAGTCTTTGCAATGGTTGGAAACTAAAAGAAATAAAATACTTTCATTGAAAAAAGATATTTAAATACTCAGTATTAGAACACCTTTCCATATTTTAATTGATAGGCTTGTTGGATAAGTAAGTATTCACGAATTTAAAAGAAAGTTAAAAAAAAGACCAATATCTGATAAGAAACACAAAATATTTTCATTTTCTTGAAGTTAAATGTGGTTTAAAATTGTGGGGAAAATGTGTTCAGCATATTTCCTTTTTTAATTAAAAATGCAAAAATAAAATCTTTTCATGAATTTACCAATTATTCCTAACATTCGGGAAACGAAACAGATACGAAGACGAAGACCAGAAGTACAGAAGAACAGTACGTACTGGTCCCTGCTGACTGACAAAGCAGGGGACGACATATTATTTCTTTGTAAGGTTCATTATTATATAAACTGTATTTTAGAGAAACTTGGATTGAATTCTTCTTGTGGTAATCCAACTTTACACAGAACCAGTTCCCATGATTAATTAAAGTCCAGGCTATATTATAGCATAGGCAGCTGGGTTTTTTTCAATAAAAATTTACTTTGTCATTCTGATTGTACACACAAGTACTCTAAAGTTGACTTCAAAGAGATGCTTAGTTTCTGATTGACAATATATATACATTATATATAGTTTTTTGAGACCAGGCTCCAGGGCCATAAAACTTAGACGAGCTCACTTTTGATCTGTCTCACTTTTTCACTATTAATTCCATTGGAAAAAGTGAGACTGAGATCAAAAGTGAGCTAGTCTAAGTTTTATGGCCCCGGAGCCAAGCCTAAAAACCATATATTGGTATTCTTAAGGGTACCAATTGCGTCCTGTTATTAGCAGACCTATTTTTCTATTCATATGAAGCAGGATTTGTGCAAAATCTTATGCGTGGAAAGAAGAAAACCTCTTGCTGTGGCCTTCAATTCGACATTAAGATATATCGACGACGTATTGTCAATTAACAATGGAAATTTTCATTTCTGTTCTGATAAGCTTGAGATAAAAGATTCCACAGAGACATATTTGTTTCATATTTGGTTATTTTACTAGTTAAAGACATTAATGGTAATCTGACAACCGCTATTTATTATATATGTGATGAATTAAACGTTTCAATCGTCAACTTCTCTTACTAATACAGCAATATACCTTCATCTCCTGCATAGAGAGTTTTTATCTCTCAGTTGATTCGATACACACGAGAATGCTCTACGTAATTACAATTTCTAAAGCAAAGTAAATCATTGACAATTACGTTAATTAAACAAGAATATAATCAGTTAAAAATCATTATTTCGCATGTTCCATGGTCGATGCAATGACAATGTCAGCAAGTACAATTCATCATTAAGTGAAATGATAACTGGCGTTTTTTTTACACTAATCGTTTGGCCATGTTCTACACACTGAATTGACAATGGTTTTTTCCTTTATTTCCCGATAATGACAAAGAGCAACGACCGATATGACCGATCGGCAGGCGATGTTCATTCCTCTTTGGCACCTCATCCCACCTCTGATGTTTTGCAGGTCCGTGTTTGCTCTGCTCCTGTTCTGTATTGTTTTATGGACTTTTGTTTTTGAATACTTTTACATGTTTCTCCATATATCTCATTGATATCTTCGTATTAAGTTTCTACTATTTAATTGCACAATCCTGTCTGACGATGTATGCTATAAACAATCACTATATGTCAATGAAATACAGAGTGAACTATCGAAATTCTGCTTTATCTTCAGCATAAAAAAGTTCATAAGAACTTAACCCCTGACCAAAAGCCATTTTACAATATATAGGTAAATATGCTGATAACAATGTTTTATTTGACACTTTTTGTCTTTCATACAAGTATCAGATATTAAAAAGCTCCCGGGTTTGTGCATCTTTCATTTTTGTTTGTATACAGGTGTTCTCTGACCTTTATCGATTAGATTTTGGCCCCTGTGTCACTATTTGCTGATAAAAAAGATTATGGAGAAATACATGGCATGAATAGTATAAGGAATTTTGATTTATTGTAGTGATTTGATAAGGCACTTGTAATATAGCTCGATCAATCAATAACTTATTGATAAAATATAGTTTAATTTAAGTTTTTGTCACTAATGTTTCTATTTTTTATGTTAATAGACTGGAAGGATAAAAATATTTTCAAAAAAGTATCATATATTGAAAATTATTGGAATTTGAACTACTTCAATTTTTTTTTACAAGTTTAATTAAATTCATTTTAAAAAATGTCTGCAGAGAAATTGTTTGCTTAATTTTGTAATCTGTTTAATATATTACATGTACTATTTATCTTCGTAATCATTGGCAATATCTTGTTATGTGTGTCACCCTGACAAATTCATGAGAAAAGGGTATATCTGCTATCAAAATGGGTCTCAAGGCTATTGCATTTTTTCAAAAGACATAAAAAGATTTATTGAATAAGCATGTATATAAATCAAAATGTTATTACTGTTTACCTAATGTTATTGGTTTAATGTGGTTTGGACTATTCTCTCTAAGGATAGATTTATATCATATTTCTATTCTTTTATTTGATGCAATATTTTATCCATAACTATTGCTTTACGATGTGAAATAGTAGATCAAAAGTTCATTGAAACAATATAAAACGGGAACAGAGCAAACGTGGGCTTTCAAAAATATGTTAGAGATCGGATCACGTGCCATAGAGAAGAAAGCATTCCTGTCGATATAAAGTATCATCTGTCATGTGCTCCTTTTCATGATTGGACAAACGGAATAATCTCTTTAAAAAAAATTCAGTGTGTAATTTTTAAAAAAATCGTTATCTCGACCATTTTTGCGAAATGTTTATTTTAAACAAATATGTCGAAAACTTTGTTTCTTCAACATATTTATTAGCAGTTTGCCTAATTTCAGTACGTAGAGCATGCTCAGTACATGGAATATACTATTGTGGAACGATTCAAGTCAGAAACATATTGATAATTACAAAAAAAATTGTTTCTTTGAGATTGGTTAACATACCACGAGGCTGTTGAAGTGATTCTTGTATGGCCATCGTTAAAAGCAAAAAAGTAACTGTAAAGAATAAGAAAAGAGGCATGTAAATATCTCTATATCTGAAATAAAAAAATCTTTTTAATTTTTAACAATCCAAGTCTAGTTCAAATCTTTCCTTCAACACACACTAACATAGAACAGATATGCCTATGTTAATATCGTATATCTTAAATTGCAGAAAAAATAGTTCTAATGTCAGTTTTATAATCTTTTTTTTTGTTTTAATTGTATTTGAAAATTCATGCAAACTTTGAATTTTTTAAATATGCTCTTATGATTTAAAATTACTAATGATCCACTTTTACGTTAAGTAAAGAGTAAAATCATACTTAATATTCATGTACTAATAAAAGTATTATAAACAAAATTCCAGTCTAAATCTTATTCAATACTCAAATTCATACAAAATTTAAAAAAAATTAAGTAGACCGAGCAATGCCTATCATCTATAAAAGTTTAACATAAAAACACGATTTAGATAATACAATTAAATACTAGTATTATAGTTTTCTTTCCATGCAATACAAAGTATGCCTATAAAACCTACTGGTTTAATAAATAAAAAAAAAAAATAAGTATCGTTACTTATAGTGTATAATTAAACTAGTCTTTACGGAAGTTCATATTCTAGTTAATCGTTATTTGATAGAGATGAATATTTGAGATAGTACATGTACATAGACAGACAAAAATGTAGGAAGGTACATGTATGCTATTCTGGGAATTTCATCACTACTGGCTGAAGATAACTGTAATCTTTATGATACTGGCCATTGATAGATGGATATTAAGTTATTGGACAGCCTTGTAAGTTACATTTGCGTTTAAATACTGCACCTTTTCTCAGAATATGACAAAGATGACACGTAATTTGTAAATCTCATGACCCAGCATGTTAGCTTAATCAATATAAATCACAAGGATAAATGAATTGTCATTATATATAGATTGATATATTTATGAAGTATCATCATGTATATTAACATAAAATGATTTGTTTTCTATCAACCATGAAAAAATGTGTTTTTAATGAAACAAAGTGGGGAATATCATATCTAATGAATATAATTTACATTTAAACTATGTGTCTCCTGGTGTACGTTTTCAGTGTAAACATTGCATCTTTTCTAAAGAAATCTACTACAACACATGCAAAATATTGGCTTTTGTTCTTATCATCACATATTTATAAGTACAAATGAAAATGAAAAAAAAGTACGAAGCGTAGAATAGGAATAATATTCTTATTAGCATAAAAGATAAAAAAAAATAGAACTGAACATTTTCCATATTTTTATTATAATCAAGGTGTGTGTTTCTTTTTCTTTCTTTTTTTTTTGAAACAAGTCCTAACAAGTCTGAGAGTTCAATAAGTACTTCTTTAACGTTTCACATAGCCTTTTCTCTAATTACAATTCATTTCTTTACTAATGTACAAATGTAACAGGAAATCAAATAGAAAAATACCCATTCACTGCTTTAAATAGGAATGAAAATTGTTACACACATTTCTTAGTTTACCTATTAGTTTACCTATTAATAACTTAACTTTTCATTGGCATTTAAGAAATAATGGAGCTTTTTGACTTCTTACTTGAACAGAATAGATTTCAATCTCGTAGAAAGGCAACGGAATTTTAAAACATTTATAAAAAAGCATTTGTTTGATAGGGTGAAACAATTCCTGGCTCTCACAAATTACACCAAATAGCCTTTGTCAAATTTTGTATTTAAGTAAATGTTATTGAAGAATCCAGAATTCGTGACCTAAAGGTTCAAGATTTCTGTCCAGAAATATTTTTTAGTTTTATAAATATCTTTGTTGCGAACGAAAATATCGGTCGATATATCACCTCTAAACAGGAATTCTTCTATAAAACGTTTTACCAATCTAGGCCACATTTTATTTTCTGGACGACAATATGTATAAGGTCTGTGCCCTCTGAATTCAGTCTTTCATTTTCACTTCAAGACGTAAAACCCCATATTTTGTGATGACCATGTTCATTTATCATAATAAAAATGATATCGATTTTGAAAATTGAAGTAGAAAGAAGAGCGTAAGGTTATTAAGGTTTTACAGTAATCCTTTATTGATACATAATTAACGTTATTAACACGAGTTACAGGTGCCACAGTGGCAATAAAAACAGAAAGAAATACATTTCTGAATGGAACAGCATGTAAAAGCAAGAAAATAATTTGTTTTAGGAAATCGCTTCTCGAAATCTTTTCATTTTTTAAACTGCATTTGAAATACAAGTAATTTGTTTCTGTTCTGTTTATATCTTTATACACTCAAAAATGTATGTCATGCAGGAAACTTTCAAGAAAGGAAAAAGATTAATTAGGGAAAATTCTGTTTCTGAGAAATCTGATAAAAATGATTTTTTTTTTAAATTTCAGTAGTAAATGAAAAAGGTTTTGCACAGTTATACATGTAGCGACTCACTCCTATTCATGAGAAATTACACTTGCATGGTGAACAATTGGCATAATACACTGATTGAATGGCTTTTTTTAAAGCTAGTTGCAACTAAATCTTTTATTAATAGCATGGGGTATATAAAATTCTTCAATAAGATCCAATTTTGAAAGCAATTTGCTTGAATGCATGAAAATCAAGCTCAGTTGTCTCTGTTAGACAGTATTTGTAAATACAAATAAAAAGGAACACTGTATATTTTGAGATAAAGAATATCAATCTGATCAAGATCAATTTCTACAAAATATTAAAGTGCTGTACTATCATCATTAATACATTTTGTTTCATTAAATCGTTCATAAGTGACCTAAGCAACTGAACAAATAATGACAATAAAATAAAATTAAAATAACATACCAACTATTGAAGACATGATAATTATATCTAAGTGATACACAAGTATTGATGTATGGCAGTATCCTTTACTCTATCTATCACCCATTAAATACTGAATGAAATTGGCGGGGTCCTATAGATAACGAACGCAAAGACCACGTGGGCTTTCATGTTTGCGCAATATACTTCTCACACACATACGCGAGAGAGAGAGAGAGAGAGAGAGAGAGAGAGAGAGAGAGAGAGAGAGAGAGAGAGAGAGAGATTTCCTACATCTACATGGTATTTTTTTTTAAATTTTCGTTAGAGACTTTTTACTTTTAGTGTCTATATTATATACATATGTTTGCTTTTCAAAGAATCATTTTTTAAAATGTCGTTTTATGTAAACCGAGCTGAAAAACTAATTTTTTCATAAAGTAAAATTGTTATTATCACTTTTATAAAGAGTATACAAATTAATGTGCATACAAACCTGTCAAAGGAATGAATATCGATTATAGTTAAGGACAAAGAAGAAATGTGCTTTATTTTCAGAAAGTAACGTGCCAAGATATGACATTCTAAAACAACAGAAGCCAAAAGCAAACAAAAACATTTGGTATTTGTTTTGCCACTTGGATTTTTGATTTCTTCTAAGGTATCTAACATAAGGGAGGGTGTGTTATCGTTTGTCTGGTATTTCAACAATACACACGTTGTTAGTAGTGAAATTTTAGGCTTCTAAAAATTTAGAAATATCATAACGCAAAGATAATGTTCGTTATCGGCTGATAAAACCAATGCTCCTTGGATTTTTAAATTAAGGTAACCAAAATCTCCTTGTATCTGACGGTGTTTATGTCCAGGTGATAGGGTCAAAATTGACCCTGCTATCTCTGACCACCCCATTAAAATAGTTTTTATTTCTTAGATCGCAATTCATTCTCCAGTTGTTTGTTTCGCAGTCTTGTTTCAAGTTGACATGTTTAAATTCCACTTGTCACTTTGTTGTTTATTTTTACAATTAAAATGAAATTAACTTTTACTTTTATTTACTATAGAAAAGTCAACTTTGAAATGACCCACCCTTATTTTGTTTACAAGATTATTATTAAATCGGTTTGTAAATATGGAAGCAATTAATTTTTTCCAGAACAAACTTAAATTAAATACACTGCTTGGTAGAATTAGTAACATTTTCTTCAAAAAAAAAAATCATAGATGTCTTATATCCCATCAGAGTCCAGATAAAAAAACTTTTATCTTATCTTATCTTGTATCTATGCAGAAAAGCTTTGTTTTATTAATCAAAAATATGCCCGCTGATTATCAGTGATTACATCCAAAGTAAAATTTATGTTTATAAAGACTGATAATAAAGCTGCCTTATATCGTAAAGCTGTTTTCAGCATCGAGAGAAATACTTATTAAATTGAATTTTATTTTAAGATATTCATCTCAGTACTGAGGCCCTTCCCTGCAAATTATTATGCTTCAAAGAGAATATTGCAACTAAAAAATGTTTTTCTACTATAAAAAAGTTTTTCCAAAGAGGAACAAGAGGACAGAATATTGAAAACAACTTCAAACAATGTCTTTCATTCAGTAATCCAGTCTGCATTATCAAATACATTCTCTGTTAGGCTGATCTGTATAAAAATAGATAAAATGTCATATCTCTCAAATATCTGAAGAGTGAATTGATATATATTTATTTTTCAGATGGGATTTAAAGTGTTTAAACGATGGTTACACATATTATATTTTTCTTCAATAAGTAGTGAGCTTATGAGGAGTGAGTCATCTAATCTAAAGGAACCCGAGATGACTAATAAAATGGCCCATATTTTTGTTGATTCATTGAAAAGTATACTTTTAATGTCAAAATAAAACAATATTACCTTTAACCTGAACTCCTACAAAATCAAGATTTTTCTATTGCATTATGACATCAAAATTAAGAAAAATTTCACTCATCCATTTCAATTTATGAGAGAATGATTTTTTCTATTTCAAAATAATCTTGAGAGAATGGTAGTGAACGAAAAGCAAAAACAGTCATCTCTTTCTCTTTTATTCTTTATGATAGACTATCCTTACTTTCATTTTCTCAGTATCAGTTTCTCTAGTTGTAGTACATGACAGTATATGTAACCCTTTTGAGATAAAGAAATTGGAAAACAATAATCGGGGTAAATTATAAAGAAAAAAGTATTTCATCATATTAAAAACCGAATGCTAGGAGAAATAATAATGTTTGAAGGTTGACATTATATATTGTAAACTTTGTTTTACGAGAACTTGACAATTTGAGACCTACTCTAATTTGAAATTTAATGATTTAAGGGCTATATTTCACAAGATAAAGATCGTGAAGAATAATTGATAGTGAAACTGTTGCGAAATTAATGATAAAAAATTAATAAAAATCAAAATTAAAGATTTTAATAGCAATAAAAAGTTATTTTAACACTAAAAAAATCAAAAGCTTATATCAGTTTATTCTGTTTTGAAAGTATTCTTTGTATTTTCCAGAGTGTTGATATATTTGATATAAAAATTCATTTTAGCTGACAGTTGTTTGCAATTTCAGATAAGTAACGGGGAAACATTTAATACATAAAAATACTCAGTACTTATTGAAGATAAAATATTGTTCATGAGTAGGATAAAAAATGATGGAGTACATTCATTTGATTTGTCAAGTGCTAATGTAAGTTTGAAATACGCTTGTATTAATATTTAGGTGAGATATAACTTTTACGGTAAACATATACAATAAGATAAGAATAGAATTGTCTTTTAATTTCATGACCTGTACTTAAAATTAAAAAAAAAACTTTAAAGTTGATGAAACCGAGTTCAGCAGTATCGTTTTCATCTTTTTGCAAGTTATAAGGTCAGTACAAGATACCTGTCATCTTATACAATCTAACATGAAGTCGAATGTCCTCAAACTAGTTGTTAGGTCATTATTTATACACTGGATTGCTTGCTGATTTTTCTGTACGCCCGATCATAAGAAAGTTCACAAGGCGAATGTGACTGGTCGACAGGTCGACAGGGGATGCTTACTTCTCAATGGCACCTGATACAAACTCTGTTGTTCAAAGAGGCTTTCGTTTGTTCTTCTCCAAATTTGTATTGTTTCTATGACCTTTTAGCTCGATTACTACTCGAAATTTTATGTTTCTTTGGACAATTTTGAAAAATAAAACTAAAAATCTGAACAGGAATTTCAGGTAAGCGTCTGTAAGCTGTGTGGATTCGTTTTCCTTTACATATTAGGTACCTATTGAATTGAACGTATTTTGAAAAAGTCGAAAGGATGGGGCACAAGTTCAGAAACTTAGATAGTCTTCTCCTAATAAGTTACCTTTTGGGTTGTTTGGCTACAATTTATAAAATGTAATGCATACAAAAAAATTTAATCTTCATATCATAAACAGCGTGTTAATCTTGTAAGCAATGTGAACTCTAAGTTTCTTGTTTACATAACAAAGTATGGGGTATCTTCACCCCCTGGAAAAGAAATTTATAGAAAGAATTAATGCTCAGGACGTGTAAACAGATATATATTATATTACAGTTGGAACAAACTCACGGGTTTATTCAGTTCATGCTGTGTTTTAAAAGATAAATCAACTGCTTTCAATCAATTTTATGTCTCTAGCAAAGATATGTTGGAGTTAACCTTATGTAAAAGAATGGATAAATCACCAAGATTCCAATCAAAATATTTTTTAAAAAGAAACCAGAAGAGGTCAAGGTTGGAAAAATTAATCATAGAAAATTTGAAAATGACTTGATTCTACTTATCATTCTTAATGCAAACAGTTTTTCTTCTGTTTATCATTACTTTTCTTAAAAGCAAACTGTGCATGCTGACTGAATTAACATTAATCAAAATCTAATAGCATAATCATATTAATAAAATTCTGTAGTTTAATTAATTATAGCCTCTGTGTTGCAATTTAAGAATTCACCAAGTGGTCACATTTAATTTATTGCATCTTTCGATGTTTCATGATCAGGCAGCCATGGCCACAGATCAAATCAGAAGCTTTAATGGGACATTCAAATGTGGTAGTGTATATGTTTAACCGTTATTAATGATCTTACATTATTTCGTTGGAAAATTCTAACGATAAACAATATGATATCCCAATGTTCAGAAAATAACATCTTAATTAACAAAAAAATGAAGTGTATCGTATGTTTTAATTTCCAATCTCAACCTACACACCTGTACTTTAACTTCTTTTATCAGGGACGTTTTACACCATCTTACGAAAATTAGCTGAAGCTTGCCATAGAATGTACAGGGTATTTTTCTTCCAGACTGTAATTGTAAAATTCAGTGACTCAATATCCTAATTAACCAGTGTCACAGTGGTCCGAAAAGCTAGGGTGGGGTTGCCACTTAAACATTTCCTAGTGCTTTACGTCATTACAGATAGAGTTCTGATAGATTTCATTTTCCTAATTGCCTTACAATTCAGATAAAAATTATCTTACATGTTTGCCCATATACTTTGAAATGTCGGTGTAAAATTAAAAGAACACTCCTTATGCTTAACTATTATCATGGCTTATCTAGCAGTCCCAAAAATAAGAACACTGTGCTGGAAAAAACCTCTGAGATAATGAGATGTTTTTTGAACTTACATTTTACAATATGAGAATTCATCTTATGTAATTAAGATTATACATGATCCAGCAGCGAAACATGGAGACGAATTTGAATTTGAAGATGTCTTCTTGCAATAAATATATATCTATATATTTCAGTAAAATTTTATTGAAAGGAAAAGAAGCAAAAGATAAGATCCTGTAGATCGTCTGTCGAAAGTCAAATATCAAAAGTTTTGGAGAGTGGCAATTTTTATTTAACATTCCCGAGAATTACAGCTTCAATCATAGTAATGATTCGGCAAAACAGAATAAATAATTTATTCATCATAGAACATTTAGTAAAACATTCACTGCAATATATCGATTATATGAAGTTTGGTACTTCTGTTTGACTGGAATCTTAAACAAAATAAAAACTTAAAGATTATTATTGCACAATTTCAACCTTTAAAGGGGTACTGTGAGTAATTAAGTATAGATTGC